TACTGCACTGGTCTGTCGAATAGCCTATACCAAAGCTCTTCTGAGCATTTGGGCAGAAGATCATCACACTGTAATGCATCAACATGTTCTACTGTTTCTGTGTTGATTCTACAGCCACTTTTTTTTTTGGGTGAACCACAACAGCTGTAAACGTTTCCTCAGATGATTTATTGACCTTTATGTCAAATTACCAAATGCAAGAACTAATTCTGTCACACTAAATTACACTAAACTATTGCTCAAGTCAACTCACAACGTCATTAGCACATCTAATCGTCACATTTTGTTTGTGCCCTGAAAATCTCCATGAAACTGATTGTTGTGCAAGTTGTGATATTGTGACGTATATCCGTGTGAAACAGCTTCTCAAATATGTATGACTTGATTTTGTCCATCAGGAATTGATTGGATCGTTGGTTATGGTTTGCTACTGTGATGTTATGTGAGTGACAGATTGTCCCGCCCTTATGATAATAAACACATCGACACATCTAAAATCACATACTTCTCTGCTAACAGGTGAAAAAACAGTGTCAAAAGCATAGACATAATATATACATAATATATACTATTGGACGCTTTGGAACGTTGCTGCGATACGTCAACGGGTCCGCCATTTTGCGGAGGTCAAGACTGCATTGTAATTAAATGTAAGTGAACGGGTGAGCTGCGTTTTTCTGGATAAAAACATTCTTGGATAAGAATGGTGAAGATCCCCATACTGAGATATTTAAGTTTGCTCATTGTGGAAAAAGCATTTTATGTGATTGACCAGATTTTAGCAATAACATTGATAAATGATGGATCATTTATGATAATACATATGTTGTGGTAGAACTGGGCATGCAGTGCAATGCAAATAGTAATTATAACATAAAGTGAAAAGTACTAGTAAATAGTTAAGTCAATAAAATAAACAAATAATATACAGCAAATAAAAATGAATACATAAGAGAAGAGACGTCGCTGTAGGTTTTTATTATTATTATTAAAGATTATGAGGGCATATGTATTTTTTAAAAGTGTAATATATATATATATATATATATATATATATATAAAAGAAGAAAAAAAATATATTTTTTTTTTCTTATTTTTTTTTTTCTAGCATTGGTGTATCAGCTTGATATGTCATGATGTCACATGAGAACTTGCTCCATAAGTCATCAATGAAATATGTTATTTTGTTTCTGTTTGGGATCTGAAAGATTAGAAATGAAACCTTGAATAAATGCAAATCATTTTTAGTTTTTGAAAACATTAAATTGTTTTGAGTGAATAAAAATACTTTAAATAGCCCACAGTAACATGTAAGACAAATTAGAGGTTAATTTTAGAGGAAAGTCAAACTTTTTAATGTTGTTTATTTGTTTATCAACAAACCATGAACAGATGCATAAGTCAACACCATTGTTGTATCTTCTCGTTAAAACTGCAGTGAACCAAAGACAGTCTCAAAAACAGTGTTTGAAATCTTTGGTGTTTCTGTCGTCAAAAAATACCTTGTAACCGATCACGTCAACGTGTGATCGTCAACGAGTGGATCTCATTGGACAGCGTAGGCCATACTTAATGAGGCAAGGGTGCGTTACATTTAAGCTATTAAGGCATGAAGATTTTTTTTTTAGGGAAAAAAAACATTTAGATGATCAAAGATGAGTTTTAAGGGATACTATTAATAACTACAGGGGACTTTCATATTTTTTTATTCTCAACAGAACAAGGTATGTGTTCAATCTGTACTTTTTACTAAAAAAAATGCATTTCATTGTGTATATCTGATTCTGACTGATTCAGCTAACAAAAACATGTTCTAAGAATGTTTTGCCAGCATTCCTATTAAGTTAGGCTATGAAAACGTTATTTCTCTCAACATTCAAAACGTTTTTTTTTTTTACATTTTGACTAGTGTGTGTAAAGGGACTGTGTTCACAGTCTCTGCCAAAGCCAAACTAAAATAGTGTAAAGCAGCTGCTGTGCGAGGAGTCAAATGTGAGAACTTTCAAAGCAACAGCGCCATGTGGCTTCATTTGATCACCTGTGTAAGTGTTATTGATGACAGGAAGGTCACTGATTGTTTGGAAATAGAGAGAGAGAGAGAGAGAGAGAGAGAGAGAGAGAGAGAGAGAGAGAGAGAGGCGTTTTGTGAGACTTTGTGAGAACTAGCATGTGAATGGATGCAAGTGGGATTGTTAGCATCAAAACTAAAGCCTTTATTAGCAAAAGTTACAAGGCATCCAATGGTTTTGATGCGAAAAATACACCTCTGTCTCCCTCTGTCATTCCCATCTGAAGGTTCCTCTGAAATAATGGCACTTTAATTGTAGCCTGTCAAACCTTGCACAATGGTTTCCCTTCATCATGTGTATATAAATAAACAATGAACAGAGTTGGTCTGAGCAAATATCTAGAGTAATTTTCTCAGGGATATCAACATAAAATAATAGAAGGCAAAGGCCTTGTGTTAGCGAGAAGAAAGCCAGAGATAGCCTACTTGCACTTTAAAGTGAGGACACAGCATCATATTTCACCTCTGCTAATATTTCCTCATAAAAGCCTTCTCTCCACACTCAAGCTGAAGTCTCCAGATGAAATAAATACCTTGCATCCCTTCATACCAGCTCTCTTTTGCACATGAGCTTGTTACCATCATGACCTTTATTTTTTCCTTGACTGGGTGCTCTTTTGATGTTTTTATTGTAAAATATTTAGTATAATAAAATTATTTATAGGCCTAATTAATTTTCAGTGCTTATTCAAATCAAACAAATCACGTTAAAAGCAACTGCATGCATCAGTTATAGCCTAATTTTTAAGTGTTTGAAGTCACAATGATATCAAAATAGACAATTCTTATCTTTTTATGGAATATTGCAGTTCATTATATATATATTTTTCTGTGCGCGTCATTATTTTTATTATATTAGTTCATGAGCCCTCGTTATCTTTAATCAAAATAATTTCCCTTCTGCCTCTTCTCTGATCAGGGGTGAGGGCGGGATCAACCTGTCCTGTCACTTTCACGAGATCCACCAATAGCAAACCACAACCATCCAATCAGGTCCCGCATGGACAAAATCAAACGCCCAACAAGTTTATTTTTTATTTTTTTATTAAGAACAATCTTAGTACAGACATTTATGTATACAGCAAAATTAACATACAACATATATATTATAAATCTTTCATACTAGGGGGGTATTGTAAACTTATATGAAGATATTATAACATTTGCATATTTTCAATGTTTTATTTGCTTTTTGCTTCATAGAAAATCGGAGTGAATCAATATAAAGCTCAATTTCTTTCCTAAATAAAATAAAATTAGATTTTTATAGGAGAATTTGCATTTATGAACATACAATTTTGCCATTAAAAGAATGAAATTAATTAAATAATTCTGATGTGCTTAATTCTACTGTTCTCCCAAATACCAAGTAAAATATGTTTCCAAAACAACATAAATTGGTCATCAATGTTTTTCGTGATAAAATCACAGACACTTTGCCAAAATGGTCTTACAAATGGGCAATGCCAAAATAAATGAACCACAGTTTCAGGGCAACTGTCACAAAAGGTACAATTAACATCAATATCACATTTAAATTTTATAAAGTACTGTTTTACAGGATATATTCTATTTATCAATTTATATGATACCCCCTTAACTTTGTTTGTAATTAAATTTTGATTAGGTAGCCAAACCTTTTTCCACGCAATACCTTCTGTAAAACGTTTCCAGTAGCCTATGAGTACCTAAGGCAAAGACGCATAATTTCTTTGAAATAATTATCTTATAGTTCTGTTCCTTGCGTTAAGGGAAAAACAGATATTACCTAGCCTACATACTTACTATAGAAGGTGGGGACAATTGTTTAAACATTTAAACAGCATTCAGATTTCAGGAGAAATTGCTCCGAACACGTTTACATATTCCCCTGGTGTTTCAGGAATCTTAATGCGCCAAAAACTCATTGTAAGTAAAAAGAAAACCCTTTGAATAAACGCCCAACAAGTTCGAGAAGCAATTTCACTCGGATATACGTCACAAGTGGGAACTGGGAAGAAAATACTCATTTAATCCCGATTTTAAAATCTTAAAAACCTTTTTAAAACATCAAATTGAATTTAAAAAATCAAGATATTTTCTAACAATCATACACTTTCTGTTCTGTAATGTGTATTTTGTAAATAGTGTAAGTTACACGCTCAAACTATGTCAATGTGATGCCGAATGTACTAGGGTTAAAACAATATATTTGTGAATCATAATCATGTCATTGTGGCATAATGCCCATAAGAGTTGTGTGAGCATTGGACATTGCTGTGGATCGTCAACAATGAATCAGATAATCGATCTAACTTAACGCGCCATAAATCATAAGGAATAAGGATAATTTAAACCAAATCGAAGTTAAAACAGAGTTTAATGAACTTGTCAACGGCTTTTCCAGTAACATTGCGCCCACTGCTGGCATGCTGAGCGAACAGCTCATAACTGAGATAACAGCGCTCTCTGGTGAGCAAAAGGGCCACGTTACAATCATACACAAATCAAACAAAGCAGAAAATTGCTTTCAAAATAAAAGTACCTGAAATGTAATATTTTCGAAAACGGCATTTTTTGGGGGGATCAAACAATCTAACACATGATTTACTGTAAGACAAAAAGCAACTTTTAGTAAAGGTCGTATTATATTGTGCTACGTACTGTATTTCTTTTGTCAAATCAAATAATTTACTTAGTTAGTTCAGATAACATAGAATTTTGAGTTTCTGATGATTAAATAATTCCCCTTCATTGTATTAACTCACTTTTTCCATTTCAATGAACTTAAAATTTTAAGGCAACCAGGTTACTTACTTTTTTAAGTTAAACCAACAATATTTTTTTACAGTGTGCGACACATTCTTGCCCACTCTTGTTCAAGACAGGTTCTAAATAGAACCTTAAAGGATTCTGTCAGACACTTTATAAAGAAATATTTCCCATCATGGCATCATTTTATGGATTTCATTTTAATTCATTTTTTATTTTGATTTAATTTCATGAATTAAACAGCTCATAAACATACTTCATCACTACGGAAAAAAAAAAGAGAAATAACTTGTTTAACATGAAAGTATTATGCAGTAACTCATAATTAACTCAACCATTTAAGAGTGAAGTTCAACAGTAGTAGTGCCAAAACAAATCACAAAGACTGTTTTATTAAGGTACTCATATTTTGTAATCAAATATCTGCTTTGTTTGACTGCAAACTGCAATGTCACAGTGCAATGTTACATTCTGTACTTCGAAATACTTTATCTGTATTTATCTGTACTTCACGACAGTGATTAGTTTCTTTTTTCTTTGTGTAGAGCACTTTTTCTTAAATTAATTACAATTAAAAACTACAAATTACATGTTACACTAGTGATTCCTCATAAAATATGAGCATTGAGAAGTTTTGCATAGTGGTCTGGTTGATATCTTTGAAGGTAAACAGACATTTTCCCCTTCACTCTCTCCTCACTGCTTAAACCTGTGAAGACAGACAGACAAAAAAAACATTTTATATTATAAAATGGTTATATTCTATATATATATACACAACAAATTCCCTCTGTATATATGGCAGTGTCCACAGACAACACATCAGCTCACCCAGTTCTGCAGCAGTGCTTGTAATCCTCTGCAGAGCTGCATTCATGTCACCTCCTTCAGGCATCAGAACCTCAATCTCTCCCACACAATATCCGAAATCAGCCTGGTCCAGATCCACCCGCACTGCACCGTCTCTCTCTAGCATGAATGAGCGGCGCTTGGTCTTGAACTCAGCAAAACAGATGAGATTGAAGTCAGACAGCCACTTTGTAGCATCTGCTGAACAGATCGCTGTGTCCTCCTTTTTTGCCACTTTGTCAATTTGTTCCCTTTGTGAGGAATTTGATTCACTCCCTTCAGCAGTGTGTTCCTTGATAATCCCTTTGACTTCTGATTGAATCAGAGGGAAACTGGTTATCTCTCTGTATCGTGAGCAAAGGGCCTGAGTTTCATTGTCAGGTGTAGTTCCTGAAACTGCAGGGCATTTCAATTCCCACAATCCCTCTCGGCATCTCAGCCAGAAATCTTTTAGTGTGAGGAGGAAATCTGGAGTGTCAAAGTACTGGTCTTGAAACTGCCGCTGACCAATGTATTTAGCTGTGTAGAGACATTAATATGCATGTATAATGTGTGTGAGTGTGTGTGTGTGTGTGTTTGTGTAGTACTGGTCAAAAGTTTGGAAACATTACTATTTTTAATGTTTTTAAAAGTAGTCTCTTATGCTAAAAAAAAATATTATTTTTTTATTCAATTTTTTATTTTAATATACTTTATTATTTTATTATTATAGTAATATATTATTTTATTAATATACTTTTATTATTTTATTATTTTTAATTTTTATTGTTTAATTTAATATTTTAATTTACTTTAAAATCAAATTTATAAATTGAATAAAGTAAATAACAAATTAAATATTAATAAAGTATAAATAATAAAGTTTGCCTCGACAAACTTTTTCTAGTTTATTTATGTAATGCAAAGATGAATTTTCATCAGTCTTTACTGGAGTCTTGAGTGTCACGTGATCATCCAGAAATCATTCTAATATGCTGAAAAAATATATTTTTTTGGAACTGGTGATACCTTTTCAGGATTCATTGATGAATAAAAAGTTAAAAAAACAGCATTTACTCTAAATATTAAACTTTTCTAACAATTTCAATTTTTACAATCACTTTTTATTAATTTGAATTGGTCAGCATCCTTGCTGACTAAAAGTATTAATTTCTTTCAAAAATGAAAATAAAAAAATACTTGAAGTTATAGATTTTCATTTTAAATAAATTCTGCTCTTAAAAAAAATTTGATTTAAAGAATTGTGAAAAAGTAGACTATCACAGAATATAAAAAATATTAAGCAGCACAACTCTAACAGTGATGATAAATCATTATCATTGTGATTTCTGAAGTATCATATAACACTGAAAACTGGAGTAATGACTGCTAAAAATTCAGCTTTGCAACACAGAAATAAATTATATTTTAAACTATATTCAAATAGAAAACCATAATTTGAAATTGCAATAATATTTAACAATATTACTGTTTTTTTTTTCTTAAAATAAATTCAGGCTTGATGTACATAAGGGACTTCTTTCAAAAAGATTAAACGTTAACATTTCCAAAATGTTACCAATCTAAAATACACACACACACACACACACACACACACTCACATATTAGGGCTGTGCAAAAATTAATTGCGATTAATCGCATCCAAAATAAAAGTCTGTGTTTACATAATATATTTGTGTGTGCTGTATATGCATGCATGTATATATTTTTGTGTGTGCTGTATATAATTATTTTGTATATATAAATACCTATGCATGCATGTATATATTTAAGAATTATTTGCGCTTAAATTCTGTATATATATATATATATATATATATATATACATAATCTATATTATATAAATATAAATATTTTATATATGAATAACACATTTTCTCAAATATATACATGCATGTGTGTGTATTTATATATACAAAATAATTATATACAGCACACACAAATATATTATGTAAACACAGACTTTTATTTTGGATGCGATTAATCGCAATTAATTTTTGCACAGCCCTAATATATATATATATATATATATATATATATATATATATATACACACACACACATATACATATACACACACATATATATATATATCATACGTGAATAATAAAAAAAATTGAACACACCTCCAATATGAGGTAGTTTCCCCATCATTTCTGCATTATAAACAAATTTTCTCTCCACCTCTACAGTCATTTTGTCCTATATGAGACATAAAAAGTAAAAAGAGAAAATCGAAAAAAGAGGAAATTTTCGTATTAAAGACTTTCTGCAGTAATGGTCAACCTATAAATTAAAAGATAATGTTGTAAAATTTCCACATGAATTCATATCAACCAAGCGAGCTGCGTAGTGAGGTAGTAGTTTGTTTGTTTGTTTGTTTGTTTGTTTGTTTGTTTGTTTTTTGCTTTCAGGACGATGACTTCAAATGCTGTCAAAGTCATAGACAGTAAAAGAAGGTCAAAGTAGGCAGCTCTTGAGACACGGACAACAACAAATACTGCTAGGAACCTACAAACAGGTCAATGTATACATTCACATTGTTAGCTGAGGTGATTATACTGTAACTACAACTGCGGTTTAAAATCAGGATGTGACAGTCATTCCGAGTCAACGATACAAACCATCAAACAAAAACATCCGAACTTACCGATCAATCAGTGTAATGAAGACAGACGTCAAATCGTGGGTCCTGTACAGCTTTTCCGGTCAGGCATATTCACGGACAGCCTAATATCTGCTCGTCATTAAGCGCACCACATACGCAGAGTGCAGATTTTTAAGTATTCAAATGTGGCTAAATATTTGCTTAACGATTCTTGTTACAGTTTCGTAGTGTTTAAATAATCAAAAGAGTCTGCAATCAGTTTGATCAGCCCATTAGTCACAGTTGAACCTTATTTTCTATTTTATTTGTTAAGATTACATTTATTAGCGTAGACCTATATTTTATTACATATCCTATCATTATTAACACGATATTAACAATAATATAAAAATATATTATTTAATACACCCCATTATATAAACATTTCTCTCATTTGCCGTGTATGTTTTAATACTTCGCCTTGACGAAAATTTAAACAGTTACAACCACTTTAATTGATGACATTATAACAATGTTCTAACGTGATTTTAGGTGTGTTGTTTAATCGAACCGATAGTGAGAAGAGAAACATTCTTGGAGAGAGTTAGCAGTCAGCTTTTGGGGGAGCTGTCGTGTGTTTACTAGAGGAGAGCAATGCAAGAGTGAACAGAGAGAGGGAGTGAGTGAGTGAGTGAGTGAGGGAGGGAGGGAGGGAGTGAGTGAGTAAGTGAGGGAGGGAGAGAGAGACAAAACTTTTCAGTTTTAAAGAGCGAGAGGAAGCGTGTGCTGGAGTCCCAACCATGCAGGTAAAGCCTTAGCTAATTGCTTTAGTGTTAATTAAACGATGTTGACGCCGAATTGATCAAGAAGTTGCGATCGTGTGGGCGATGCGGATCATATCGCGTCCTGAGCACGATAGATCATTTGATGCATGCCATTTCATTGCGAATATTTAGTTTGATTTCGAGTGTTAAAATCCAAACTTTTCTACCTCGGTCTCTCATTTTGGCCCCGCCACCCCTTTCGCTGCTCGTTGTGTTGCACGTCGCTCTTTTCGAGCAGCAATGCGCTTCGTCCGTCGTTAATTACTGCGCTCTACAATTATTAAAACACACTTATTGTGCTTAATATCTATATTATCTATTAAACGAGGAACTTAGACCGCCAAATGCAAGGTATTGGGTTAGTTAAATGCCGAAGGGAGACGACAAACGGCTTGGTTTTGTTAACACATCTGTATGAAGCAATCCAAATTCATTAATTAAATAGCTTAGTCGATGTAGGCCGCAATTTCCGCTGTGCAGCGGACGGCGGGCGGGGAATGTCTCAATGCCCGACCATCAGGCCACAATCAGGGGGGCGAGGAACTAATCAAGCCCGAGGTTTTACATCTGAGAGCCGAAAGCCTATTTAAACAATTCAATTAGCGCAATAAAGCAGACTTGGACTGCAGCATATCGAGCGTTGCTAGTGTTATATGCCTTATAATCTGTTCTCGTAGCTCTTATTCTGTGTCTTTGAGAAGTTTGTGGGCGATTTGTGGCGTGATACGCGATACATAATTAGTTGACCAATTTGTTGAGTGTTGTTAGCTGCGTTAGCCATGTGAAGTGCCACGACTGTTTATGAGAAAATGGCATCTTTTGTTTTAACATCACCCTTCTAGTAAGAAATCACTGAAATCAGTCGCTTTGCAGCGATTAAAGTTGGAAAAGGGGGTTATTAGGGCAGGAGACTGCAGTGCGATGCACTTTAATGGGATATTTGTCGTGATTACACTGGAGTGAGAGAGAGAGGGAGAGAGAGAGTGTGTGTGTATATGCGTGTTAGCGAGGCAGGCTAAAGCTCTCCGTTTCCAATTGATTCAACAGCACACGGGTCTTGCTAATTAGGCTGTGGGTTAATTAACGAAATCATCAAGAGTTATGGCGGCCATATGAGCTCGCTGTCGAACGACAGTGTCCCGCGGCGTGTGGGTTCGTCTGTCTTTGACTTTTTGGAGAAGTTAATAGTAGTTGTCTTGAGGATTCAGTGCATGTTTTCAGTCTAGCAGGGAAGCTAATTGGCGTGGCATTGTAGCACTGTTGGCATTTGATGTCTGTTCGTTACTTGACAAATGTGGCATGTAAAAAACGAAGCCAGAAACGGTGTAATTGATATTATTTTGCATGCATACGCGTAATGAAGTCCTTTAGATGTGAATTAAGATGTTTAAATATTTGATTTCGACGTATGTGTTATTTATTTATTTGGGTTATTGTTTTAAAGAGACATTACTGTCATTAACATCCCAGGGGATTTGCACCCATTATCTGTTATTTACAGCCCATGTCGCCTTATTCACAAGGGGGCAACATGTTGACAAATTTCACTCACATCAGCATATTATACGACTAGTCAAGGTCAACATTTAGGCCTCCTCTGACGGTAAATAGCCTAGTTATTGCAGAACTGATAAATGCATGTATGGTTCTGCTTATCAGATTGTATTAACATGGTATGCCTTCAAATGCATGATTTATAAACAGGCCACAAGGTATCGGTGGTCCAGTTTTGTCATGTTGTGTCTAACAAAAAGAACATAACTGCATCTGTGAATCAGATTTGATGTCTTGGATGAATACTTTTTTAAGTGCATAGCACAGATTGTATGGCCTATATGAATAACTAGAGGTCACAATATCAGACCTGATTGTGAACATACTTGGATGAAAGAAAGGAGTAGTTGAGTGATATGTCCCAATGTTATGCATGGTGATTTTGTTGATTTCATTTGTCATCTAACTTTAAAAACAATTAATAAGCGAGACAATTGTTGCATTTCTTAAAGTATATTTTGGAGGTTTGACGATTAAGCTTATGTGAACTGAACAACAATTTTAGTGCTGACTGTACATTAGGTATAATAATACATGCATTGCAGAATGTTAATGCATTAGATGCTTTCTATCTATCTATCTATCTATCTATCTATCTATCTATCTATCTATCTATCTATCTATATATATATACACTATGTTTACGTAATCATCTAATTTTATTAAAAATAGTAGTACTGGTTCACCCAAAAATGAATATTCTGTCATCATTTGCTTACCCTTATCACATTTCAAATTCAATCCTGAATGACTTTCTTCTGTGGAAAACAAAGATAAAAATATCTGTTTTGAAAGTCAATGGGGTCCAATGTTGTTTACACACCAATGTTCTTCAGAAAATATTCTTTTGCATTGATTGTGCAGAAGAAAGTAAGGCATAGTGGTTAGAAATGACATAAGGATGCAATTTCAGTTTTAGGTGAACTAACTAGGGAGTTCTGCACATATTTCATGGGTTTGTTAATTTCACATTTCTTTTAGATCACTGATGCATTAAAAAAATGCACAGTAGCTTGAGGCCACTTGAAACAAAATAAATACATACTATAAAATTTAAGAAACTTTATTTTGTGAAATCTGAAAATGAACAAGTAATAAAATAAAATGCCTTATTGGGTATAATAAAATATTATTTTATATAATAATAATACCACTCTGGTTTCAGGAGGAGCCAGGAGAAACTCTGGGAGGTGCCAGTAACAGGGGGTCAATGTGTTTATGCCCCTTATGTCAAGAAAGTCAACCAGACCGTGAGAATCTCTCTCATCACCTTACGGACAAACACAGTGTCCTCCCTGCTTGCCTTGATAAGTTACTGGATATTGTGAGTAAATTTAAGATGGACTTTTTGGGAAAGAAAAATGTTTGTAAAGTTTAGTTATGTCATTATGTACGTTTTGATGGCAAATACTTTTTTATGAAATAAATGACGTGTGTTGTCAGTGAAATTATAAGCTTATACAAGTTTTTGTTTGCTTTAAAAGTAAATAATTGATTTCCTCTTTTCATAAGGCTGCTCCTAAGCAGTCTTCCATTGCTGAAGATGAAGAATCCAAAGCCCCAAATGATTCAGGTGAGTTTTATTCATCTATAAACTTACTATTAATTGTATTACAATGTTAAGTGTTTGTATTTGTGCCACTGTGATTTAACACTATGCCAGCACTATGAGATCTTAGGTTCCAATGTTATTGATACCAGGCTTAGGTTATGCACCACTGGACACACAATTGGCTGGGTCGGTGACCACCTTGCTTCAGTAGTTTCCATGGCAATGAAGCACCTTTAAGTTGTAGCTGAGTGTGGCCCCCACAAGAATTCAGTTTTCCTGCTGACTCTTGGATGTGATGGCTGAAAAAAAACTTGATTTGTTGCCAATTATTTGTGTTTCACTGGTTGTTTTTAAATCCAAACAAATTACTTTTTTTCTGAATTCGGACATAAGGTGAATTCAAAGTTTTGGGTGAGGGATGGACCAGGTGAGGGATGGACCAGAGACCCCAGTTGCATATCGTAAACCGAGTGTTGTGATTTAGGCCTGCTCTGTTATACCTATATCATTTATTTACCTATGTGATGATACTGGTCAAATAAACATTGATTTATGGATTCATACACATTTAGATTACGATTCATCTTAATAAATGTATTGTTAACTCTACCTTTGGTTTAATATAACTTTTTACAATTAAAGGGTAGCTAAACCCTGAACAAACTTTTTTTAGTTAATGATTTGTAAGAATGGGGCTTTATTAGTGCTGATCATTGATTCAAGTAACTTTGACATTTGGGTATAAATTGTTTTAATTCTACAATATATGGTGTAAAACATCTGAGTGCTGCCCTCTTCAGTTTGAAAGGTGGCTACTGCAGTTGAATTTTCCTATTGGATGTTTGCAGTTCTTAGTGACGTAAGCAGGAGAGCAGACGTAAGCAGGTTCCGGCTCACCACGCCCCTTGGTACGAGCTACCACACCCTTGGCAGTATAAAAACCATCTTGTTTCGTCAAAACCACTGCAAGTCGAGTTGGAATTACAAGTATTGAAAACATTCAGGATAGAGTATTTTAGCATCTAGCATAGCATTTATATAGTTATTTAGATTATTTTGTGTATCCTAGTTAGTTAGTTAGTTAGTTAGTAGCATAATACAGTTAGGATAGCTTCAAGTTACCGT